CTCGGTCACGCGGCTCTAGCTACACCCGCCTCCCTGCTGTTCCTCAGCCAGGATCACCAAGGTCTCTCCTGCCCCGGGGCCTGTGCACCTGCTGTGCCTCTGCTTGGGGTGCTCTTCCCAGGGCTCGCTCGCCTCCTCAGAGAGGCCTCCTGACCCCTGATATGGCCTTGCCCTTCACCTCTATCGTCCTTTAGAACAGCCCCCACCTCCCGCACATCATGCAGTTGCCAGTTCAACTGCTACTGCTTGTCCTCCGGACTCGAAAGTAACCTCGCGGTGGGCGGTGGGCAGGGGGCATTGTTTTGTTCCCTGGCCTGTCCTGGCACCCAGAGCAGTGCCTGGCAGGGGTGGGTGTTCAGCACACACCTGTAAACAAGTGACTCCAATGCAGGGACCGTTCTCTCTGATCTCTAAATCCACCTTTCTTATGTTGTAGTAACAATATTGAATGTTGTTCCATACATCATCCATTTTCTTTTCTGACTTTTAGATCATAGTGCCTTACAGAACAACTGAGCAAAAAATGGACTTTCAGACACGGCAGGTGCCCAGGTCCAGGCCCCACCCTTTGGTCCTGCAGGGACTGCACTCATTGATTTTTCTCTTTTCCGGCTCTCCACGTGCCAACAGCTCCCTGGCTTTGATTTTCATCCATTTAAGTTGAAAAAAAATCAAAACAAATGAAATGCACTTAAGAGAAAGCCTTGAGGAGTTAGCGGGCCACCTGAAGTCAATGGACTCCTTTCAAGGAGTTCTCATTTGTTGTTATCAATTATTTATTGGGCTCTGATATGTTCCCGGCGCCACCAAGACGGAGAGGAGACAGGGTCCCTGCCCTGGGGCATCCCAAAGAAGAAGGGAGAGTTTGTGAAATGAAAAAATGTCCCATATGATAAGACAGTTACACGTCACACCTCAAGGCTGCTCTATGCTTTTATTATGTTTTTACTTTTAAGGATGTTCATTTATTTTCTGATTTAAAAAATTAATTGAAAAGTTTATAAAATATTCCTAGAAAATAGAGAAAAAATAAAATCTAACTCCAGTGTTTTTAATGCACATATAAAATCTATTTGGTTTAAAAAATTAGGATTTCTTCTAAATGTTTAATTTAGTTAGTTTAGAAGTTTTGTTAATTTACTCATCAGATTCTGCCTTGAGTTTTATTCACATTATACCATGTACATTTCTTTAGGCCATCAAGCAGTCTTCAAAAGCATAAATTTCATTAGTTACAATGTATTTCATATAGATATACGATAACTGCCTTCAACAATCTTCTATTTCTGGGCAATAAATTTTTTTTCTTGTTTTTCTTTTGGTTATTATAATATTGCTTGAGTATGCTTAGTTTAGAAAGCCTTGACTCACCGTTATTATGATTTCAGTTTATAATCAGGAAGAGGGAAAACCTAACTCTAAGGCTGAAACTAAATCCTAAAGCTAGTTACACAGTCTCTCTGAGCTTTGCTGTCGTCTTCTGTCCTGTGGTAAGAATAATACTGAAGTCCTGGGGAGCTGTGAACCATATGCTGTGAGAGAACACAGCTGAGCAGCCCAGCCAGAGCCCCCTGGGGAAGCCGTCGGAGGTCAGCAGCTCCCGTCCCCTTCCCTCTTGACTCCTAAGAGTCTGAGACAGAACTTTGCCCTCCCTTCTTCCTGTCCAAAAGACATACAATGATAATGATGCTGATGGTTATTTAGTAAGAAACTTCCCAACAGTCGTCAGGAGGGGACACAGTTGCATTCTCCCCAGCGAAGATGTCAGGGTGGACAGAAATATCACCGTGATCCAAAGAGGACACAAACACTCCTGCTATTTTATTGTCACCAGGGAAAGACCAGCTCTAGGTTTGACGAATGTTTAGTGACAGTTAGTTTGCAAAAGTCAAAAAGAAACTGACATAATGATAGCCAAACAGGCTTTCTCTGCATTAGAAGAGCTCAGTGGACCCTTGCATGTCTGATTAGAGAAAAACAAAACAAACAAGGAAGAGCTCCTCCAATGCACAGAGGTGCTGCTCCATTGAACTAGACCAGAAGAACTTGGGCCTGCCCCTTGGGAACAGGGGCCAACATGACATGGTGGGTAAGGACCCATTATCTGACATGAAGATGCCCTGAGGGCATTGGAAAGCACGGTGTGTCAGGAGAAGATGGCCCTGAGGGCAGGTGCATTCGGGTGCTAGTGAGCGCTACAGCATGTTGGGTCTCTAGTTTTGTATCAGTCAGCTACTCTCACAATCATGCTGTGTAACAAAACACCCCCAAACTCAGTTACAAACAGTAGTATTTATTTCTCATTCTCATGTCCACAGGTCTGATGGGGTTCATCACATCTGAGCCAGGACTGGCTTTTCTTGGCTGCAAGCTGAAAGCTGGGTCCAGGTCTGCTATACTGAGGGTCTCCCATCTTCCTTGGACCAGTGACAACCAGAGGCCTATTTCTCTCATAATGGAAGGCAGGAGAACAAGCAGGCAAGACCAGCTGTGCTAGCATATGCTGCCCCTCTGCCCACATCACACCTGCTAATGTCCCATTGGCTAAAGCAAGTCACACAAGCAAACCCGACATCAACAGGACAAGGAAACAGACTCCACCTCTAGAGGCACAAACTACAAAGTCACATGACACAGGGCATGGATTCAGGGAAGGAAGATGGAGAATGACAATAATGACCCTCAATAACACAACCTCCCACAGGTTTCCAAATCCCCATCCCAGGCATATTTCCAAGGAAATGGAATCATGGGTTCAGGGTTTTAGAGCAAGCAATTTCTGCTCGCCCAGCTTAGTTTCCACACCCTTAACACAGGGGCAATGATGTTGCATCAAATCGTATCTTAGAAGTTTGTGATGACGTTTAAACAACTAAATGCCAAAAAAGTGCTTAGGTCAGGGCCGGGTAGGAGGGGCAGAAGCCAATGGTAACAAGTAGCATCACTGTTAACCCGCAAAGTTCTGGGAATTTCCTTGAAAGTCTGATTAGAGAATCATGTCCTCAACAATTAACATTTCTTTTGTTTCTGTTTGTTTGTCTGTTTGAATCTAAGAAAATACTAATTGTCCCAGGATAGAATATTTATCTGATGAGCATATAGAAGTTAAGGGCTCCTTGGAGTCACAGTGCTGGGTTTGGGTCTCACCCCTCCTCCTACCTGCCTCTCTCAGCCTCGGTTCCTCATCTGTAGAATGTGTACATTCCCAACCTCATGTGTCTGTGGCAGTCAGGGTTAAATGGGCTAATGACTCTAAAGTGCCCCGCGCAGGCCTGGCAGGTGCTGAGCAACCTTGGGCCATAGCAGGAGCACTGACTTGGGAGTCAAGAGCTGGGACCTCCGGTCCTATTCCCCAGGGATCCGGGAGAAGTCCCTTGGCTTCCCTGAGCTTCATCCACCCCGCGTGCTAGTGAGGTGGCTGGACCAGTCAGGCCAAGGATGTCCCTGCGGCTGTCTAACTTCCCCTTACTCACTGCTCAGCAAAGGGCAGGCGCTGGGCCTGGTCAGGCTCCCACAAAGCCCAGGCGTGGCCGTGCTCAGCTCGGGGCGGGTGTGGGGGATGCGTTTCTGCCCTCAAGGGACTGAGCTCCAGTTTCTTTCTTCACTGAGCCCTTTACTCTCTGCCTGCGGGTGGTTATTTAAGACATCTCCCGCCTGCAGGGGCCTCTTAGAGAACAAACAGGGGATCGTTCCTTCAGCTGCAGCGCAGGCTTTACTGGGTTATTCCTGCCTCAAGTGGCCAGATCCTCCCTGAATGGAGTCGCCCCACAGGCCCCACACCCAGAGAGGGGCAGCCAGAAGCCTCCGAGGCTCTGCCCAGCTCGCCCTGAATGTGCTCCCCGCCCTGAGTGGAGCGCTCACACCTCCCCGCATCAAGGTTCTGTCTCCCCAAGGATCTTCGTCTTAAAAACCCTTCTTCTCCCAGATCCCACAAACCGACGTTATAAAAAACACAAACACCCAATAAACACCATGTAAACTGATCACACACAAATAATATCCAAAAAGAAGAACTCGTATAACCACTTTAAACTATAAAACATGTCTGTTGGGATTTGTGGGAGATCATGGATCACAGCCTCCCCCTGCTCCTGGTTCAGCACCGTGAGAAATGGAAGCAGGGTTCACCCGGGGGACGGGAAAGCATCAGCTGCCACTCATGAGGCTGGGGGCAGGGGAAGCCCCTCGTCCGCGGACACAAACAGGCGTCCTGACATGACTTCCATGAGCAGAAGCGGCCAGACAGAGCTGGAAAGCTGACCTCACAAGGCTGAGGACCGGCCTTGAGCTCTGCCTGACTGCAGAGAAGGAAAGTTCTCTTCTTGCAACCTCAAATCTTCCAGGTAAGAACCGAACGACATCCGGCCTTTGTGTTCTCTCCACCATCTCCCAGCTCACCCACCCAGCAGCTCAGCACCTGTGAAATCCGTCTCCCGATGCACACTTGCTAGCCGGGTGGGTGTGAGCAGGATGATGGGAAACAGCGGGAGTCCCCTGAGTGCAGACTCAGGAGTGAACCTGCCTGAAGAGTGGCATCTAACGCACACGCTGTGGTCAACTCCACTCCACTCTGGGTCCCAGGAATAGGAGCAAATGCGTATTTTGCTTGCAGGGCAGGTGTTTCATCCACATTATTGCAGGAACAGATGAATTTAATTAAAAGAACACCACAGTGGGCACCTCTTCCAGGGATGCCTCCCTCTAAGAACATGACACCGAGATGATCAAGGTTCTAAAAGGGCGATCGAATTACTCTCCGAAAATGAAACTGCTCAGACAGAATGACAATTAAATTAATAACAACGAAGACAATGCCCAGATTTCATCTCAGCTCACAGCCCTCCTGTGTGCTGTGTGATCGGGTTCTTGGGGATGACTCCAGATGCAGGGAAGAGTCAGGATTTATCCACAAGGGTGAGCTGACTGTCAGCATGAGGGTCCCCTACAGTGGAGCTTGCCAAGGTCCGTGGGTCCCAGGGGACCCGTTCCAGGGCTAACAGATGAAGCATGGAAATGCTGTGTGGAGTGAGCTGAGCAGTCGTTCTCAGGAGAAAACAGACAAATCCTCCTGCATCCTGGTGAACCAGCTTTGTGGCCTGTTTTACGTCATCTTTGCTGAGCTCCACTGGGTCACCCCTCCTGCTGGCTTTGTGATACTGACATTTCAGGCACCGGCGCAGACACACGGGCCTTCCTGGCTGGGATTCCACGGGTGGAGTGAGCAGTGCTGGCTTGGAGGAGTCGTGGCTGCACAGGGCCTGTGCTCTCAGCTGATCAGTGCCTGTCCTGACCCCAAACGGCCCTCGCAGTACTGTTTGAAATTGCTCTTGCCATCTTTGGAACAGATTCCTCAGTACGTTTCAGACCCATTGTTGTGACTTTGGTTTCAATCCAGGGACACAGCTTGGCCAATGGACCGTCTCAACAACATCTATGATCGCTCTTTCCCAGAGACAGCATCTCAGACACCAATGCTGAAAGAGAAACAGCAGCCTGTCCCCAGGTGGCAGGAAATAGTCCATTTGAACGGCAATTTCATAAGTGGCAGATGATTTTTATTGTAATTTTCTGGTGAGCCATTTAAGTGGAGGCAGAGTCAGTTCTGAGGCATCAATGTCTTTAATAACTCGGGGAGACCGAGGCCGTGCTCAGCAGGAACACCGAGTCCGTGGAAAACAGGCCCTGGGCCTGCTGGTGTGCATAATTCCACGTTTGCCCCCCACGTAACCAGGATGGTAAATTACAGGTGTCAGATAAGCACGCT